CTGGGAGCAGAGAAGAGAGGCTGCCCGGGGGAGGGGGGTCTTTTCCCTCCTAATCTGCCCTTTGTTTGGGGGGGAGGGGAGGCGGGGGGGGGGGCTGCCCTGAGAAAGGATTTCTTGGAAAGCCAGAACGGTCTCCCTGCATCCTCTTTACGTAAGTGGAGGCAAGATTGGCTCCCCAGCCCTTCAGGAGGGGGGCAGCCGAGATTTCGGGGAAGGCGGCAGCAGCAGCACCCCAATGCCGGTCCACCCATCGTCCGCCCTGGAGATGCAGCGGAGGAGGCAGGGGGCTCGCCCGCTCCCACGTGCGGAGCCGGCTCACCTGCCTCCTCCCTCTCCCTGCTGCATTTCAAGAGGCACCAACTGCAGCGGGCAGCTCGAGGCCGGCCGATTGCTCCCCTCTGCTGTGGCCGGGTGCGAAGGGAAGAGACCACGCTGGGCAGCTCAGGGAGGGTCCCCACCGCCTCAACCCACCCGAGGAAAGGCAAGCAGGGCCCAGAGGGACCAGCGCCAGGCCTCCCTCCGCCCCCATCGCGGCCAGTGTGGGCAGAAGAGGAAGAGCTGGAGAGAAGCGAAGGGAGCCCAGAGGATCAGCCGAGAAGGGCAGTCCGGAGAGGCACCTCACAAGCCCCCTCGACCTCGCCCTGATCCTAAGCGGCTCCACACAGGCAAGGGGGGCCCTTTTGTTGCCCCGAGCCTGCTTAGCCCCTCCGAGGGGCCCTGGGCTGCCTCTCGAAAGCAAAGGGAGTTCTCCTCTACGCAGGTGGCCTTTACCAGGAGAGCTTCAGGACGTGGCACCGGCCACGGGTGGAAAAGAGCAAGAAGCCAGTGTGGCTCTCAGCTGCTCCGGCCTCTAAGCGGGGCCTTCGAGCAGGAGGTGGGAGAGGACACATCACCAAGGCAAGGCCCCCCCAGCTGCACCAGAGGCTGACCGGGAGCCAGCCCACCCTCACTGTACCCACCGGTGCCAAGCACAGTTCCACCAGCAGCCTGATCCCGACTGGCCTCTAGCACGGAAGCCCCACCGTGCCCAGCAGGGGCCTGGCTCCACTCGCGTGGCCCCCTGCACATCTGCCGGGCCCTCAGGGGCCCATGAACGTCTCGCTCGCTGGTAACAAAGCCTGTGCAGAGAAACAGCCCCTTCGGCCTGCAGCAGAACTTCTCCATGGGCCTCTGACCTGCTGAGCCCACCCCCAAAGTCCTCCCCCCCCCAATCCTGGGATCCGCCCCAACATCCGCCAGCCACCTCCTCTCCCCCCGTCCAAAGTCTCTGCCCCAGAAGCTGCCAACGCAGCCAGGCAACGGCCCGCAATGCCAAGCCCCCCAAGAGGTTAAGAGGACCCTGCCGGAGTGGCCTTTGGGCTGATCTCTCCAGCAATGCTCAGGAAGCCCCCCAGGCAGGTCAGGCACAGAAGGACCCCTGGCCTAAGAGGTCCTGGGGGGCAGGAAGGAATTCCAACCCCCTCCCTCCCTCCGGCACCATCAGACACGCCAGGGGGCTCCACCTGGCAAGGACCCCCGAGTCCACACAACGGACGTTGAGGTCAGCAGGAAGAGTTTCTTCTACACCCAGGATTGAAAATAGCCACCCTGAAAGTGAGCCCCCACCACTCCAGGCTGCCTCCCCCCCACTCCAAATCCTCCCCTGGCTGGGGACTCATGCCACGGGACTCCCCGAGACCNAAAGCCTACAAACTTGAAATTTGGCACGTATGTCCCTCTTGGCTTCTAGGTGCTCACTAAGAAAAGATTTTTCGAAATGACCCTCAGATGATTAGCATTTCTTATACAGCTGCCTCAGAGTATTTATATATATATATATATAGATTAACAGGCTCTGATGCGAAGGAGCTGGACATTCTACTCCCCCCTCCCAACCGAAAAGAACTCTGTTCCAACTGCCAGCGGCCTCAGTCCAAAGTGGCAGACCTTCCCCCCCCCACTTCCTCCCCTCAGGAGGGGTCCGGGGCTCCTTACAGCACCAACCGTGGGTCCCTCACCAAAATGTCTAGGTTTCCGGGCAGAGGGAGGGAGACTCCTTATGAGTTCCAATCACCAATGGATTGTGAGCTGGATTTCTCCTGCCTGGTGTCCCAGCCCCAACCCGCCTCTTGCACTGACCCCCTCAGTCCAGGCGGATCTGTTCCACCCACGGTGGCCCCAGTGAAAGGAAAAAGGGGGGGGGAGGGATGCAGGAAAAGGTTTACAGGTGCGATTAGGAGAAGACAAGCAAGGGAAGCTGGAAAAAAGGATCTCAAAGTCATCCCAAAGTCAACAGAGAGGCTGGGGAAAAATCTGCCTCTAACAACCACTCCGTCCAATATGAACCCCCTCCGAGCGATGACTCCGGGAGGGGGGAAAGGGGGAGCCGGTCTCCTAAGGCCTCGGGGGCCCTGGGCTTCCTGGTGCCGTGGCCTGAAGGGGCCTGGCGTGTTCCAGCTGGGCGAAGGCGGTCAGACGAGAGCCAGGACGTCACGTCAGCTAACAGGTTATTTCTAACAGGTGCGGTTTAGCTAACTGGCAACACCTGAGCCCTGTTTCACAGCTCTTTATGTACCCCAGCTGTCAAACAGGTAACCAATCAGAAACAAGGACACGCCCCTCTAGCCAAATGGACCAGAGAGGAAACTAGCACACAGCAGGACGAGACTCCCCAGATGCCCTGCAGTGGCGGTAAGGCCCAGCTCCCCCCCCTTCAGCCCCCCCTCCCCAACCCTGACACAGAGCCACCACATCCTCCCCTAGCAAAGCACCGGGATCCAGCGTGCATGTGTGTGTGTGTGCGTGTGTGTGTGTTTTATAGGGGTGTTTTGTGTGTGTGTGTGTGTACACAAAGACTGCATCCAACAGGGAGCCATCTTCCAACTGCAGCCAGTGCCACTGTGTTGTCTGTTTACACACACACACACACACACAATCAAGGCTGTGGTTTCCCCAGTTGCCATGGATGGCTGTGAAGGTTGGACCATAAGNAGGCAGCTGCTCCACTGGCACCTTCGGCCTGCTTGATCTTCGGATCAAGGCCTGCTCAAGGAAGAAGCCTCTCCAGCAGGAGGTTCCCTGGGGGGGCTCCCCAAAAGGAGCTGTGGGTGAGGTGCACAATAACCCCCCCCCGATTCAGGCAGGAGAAAGACGAGAAGGGGGGGTTATAAAAGGTAGGGGGAGCCTCATTAAGAAATAACGTTGGAAAGTTCGCTTTGGAGGGATCCATGGAGCAACCGAGGGGCCCTGAGGTGGTCCCGGACATTTCTCCAAGGGGGGGGGGGTCTGCAGCTGGGAAAGGAGTGGGAGGGGCCCTGGGCCCGGGAGAGCCAACGGCCCTGTGACCCCTGGGGGCTGGTGGGGAGGGGCCGGGGCTGTCTAGGTGGCTTAAACCAGACCTTCGGCCCTTTGGGCTCCCCCGAAGCCCTCTCGGCCCTGCCCACACAGGGGGAGGCGGGCAGGGGAGGCCCCCGGGACACCCACAGCTGCTTGAAGAGACTGCGAGTGGCCACGTTCACACGACTGAGGTGGGGACCTGATGCCTCTGTGCCGAGGGCCAACCCCACCTTTCTTTGTGGGCTTCTGATCGGCTGCAGCCAGGGGGGACTCTGGGGTCTGATAGGGCAGCAGCCCAGCCCGGCCGGAGGAGGCCTGCAGGTTGGCTGGGACCTGACCCCTCCCATTCCACTCACTGAAAACCCTCGCCACGCACGGGCCCTCGGGCACCGGGAGCAACCTGCCGGCCAACGAGGCTTCCGGCTGACCCCCACTGGAGGCCCAGCACCAGCACCAGGAGCGGACCCTGGACGTTGTCCGGCTGCCAATCCCCGTGGAGAGGAGGCGAAGGTGTCCCCTGGGGGCCCCCTCCTCCAGAGTGGCTGCGAGCTCCTGTCCACACACTTCACTACCGCCTCAGTTGTGCAACACTTGCAGCCCTGACACAGCAATTTGGGTGATGAACACACACAGACACACACCCTGGGTCCACAGGTCTGTTTCAAGGCAAATCTTCTCCCTCTGTTTCCCCTGCACAAAAGCAGCCTCGGTAGTGAGTGGCACCTGGGAGCAGAGAAGAGAGGCTGCCCGGGGGAGGGGGGTCTTTTCCCTCCTAATCTGCCCTTTGTTTGGGGNTGCCCTCCCTTAATCCTTTCTCTCCCCTCTTCTCTGCTGCCGTCACGGACTCTCATCCCCCCCCACACACACACACACAAAGCTTCCTGATGTGTGTGTGTGAAAGAGAGAGTTGCACAGCTCGGGGCCCCTGCTGTGTGGGGACGGGTGGGGACGGCTGCCCCCTTCCCCTTGCCTGCTCATGAACCGCGGCTCCTGCCTCCCCCAGGTGCCCCCGAGGGTCCTGCGCCTGCCTGCCTTGCCGAGCGTAGAGCCGGACCCAGCGCCCTGGGAGGACCTGGGAGACTCTCCGCCCCCTCAGAAGCTGGACCTGGTGGTGGCTCAGGTGAACCAGCCCAAAGGCATCGCCCTCCAGTGGAACGTACGCTGCGTGGACCCCCGGTGCGCCCCCATCGAGAGCTTCTCCTTGTTCATCTGCCTGGAGGACGTGAGCAACGGGAGCACCTCCGAGTGGAAGAGGACCAGCGTCATCAAGGCCCTCCCGCTGCCCATGGCCTGCTCGCTCTCACAGTTCCCCCGCTCCGTCAAGTGCCACTTCACCATGCGCGCCAAGGACGTCCACGGGCGCCATGGGCCTTTCTGCGACGTCCAGTCCATCTCGGCTCTCTAGAGGGGGCTTGGGGGGAGCGGCAGGACCCTCTTCCCTAACCTGACACCCCTTTTCCGGGGTACTTTTGAGGGGCATTGTTTCCCCAGCTCAAGGTGTGGAAAAGACCCCCCCCGGCCAGTCCTCGGTTGCCCTTTTTTTCCCTCCCACACTAAGCTGGCATCCCATGTGAGGGAACATGGGAGAGAAGGCTGGGAAGACGGCCACCCAACGCTTGAAGCCTCCAGAGAGAGAGAGTGGAAGGTTTGCCCCCTTCCCCTGGGGGAGAATCAGACTCAGGACCCCCAAGAGCGGGAACTTTGCTTTCAGTATTGTTTTCATCCCTTCACCAGTAGGATGGGAGAGAGAGAAATGTTCTCTTGGCCCAAAGCCAAGTGGGTCAAAAAAAAAAATTTTGTTTTTGAAATAAAGTGCCTTTTCTGTTAGATTTTCCTGCAGGCTAACTGTATTTTCCTGATTTTGTAGAAGGGGGTTGTTCTGATCCAAAAATCCGCTTTTCTCTCCAAAAGCATCCCCCCNGAACAACAGCTGGAAGGGACCCTGGAGGTCTTCTAGTCCAACCCCCCTCCTGCTCAAGCAGGAGACCCTACGTCACTTTAGATGAATGGACCAGCCTGGCCCTGATTCTACCAAGGAGAGCAGCATTCTAGGCGGCGCCAAGGGGCAAGAGAAGGCACAAATGCAGCCCCACAGACCAGCAAAAGCCCCCCACCCACACCCCGTGACTCCCAGAGTGGAGGAGCCCCAGTGCCCCTCAGCCCTCCCCTCCTCTCTCCCCCTACCTTCTCTGCCATGATCATGGAGGAGCCTCCGTGGATGCCCAGGATGGGGATCAGAGTCTGGGCGGAGATAAAATCCAGGATCTGGGCCACGGCCTCCTGGCCGCTGTCGTCTCCGAAAAGCACCCCGTGGATCTTGGTGCCCGAGATCAAGTCGCAGATGTGGGTGATGATGCTCTTGGGGTCGGTCTGGTTGATCAGGAGGGGCACCACGTTCACGTCAGTGGGGAGCCCCCCGGCCACATCCCGGCTGCTGAGAGCACGGAGGTCTCTTTCCGTGACGCTCGGAGTCCTCCCCAAAATGACCGCAACGTTCAGGATGGGGGAGCTTCTCTCCGCCCCGTGGACCAGAAACGCGTGGAGCACCAGCAGATTCCAGCACACGCATGCCATCTTGACCAGCACCATGCCCTGCAAAGGGGGCCAGAGTGAACCCGGGCGCCCTCCTGCTCAGCCAGAGGGGCCGGCAGAGACGTTGGCAGGCAGAACCCAGACCGCCGGGCCCTCTGAAGGGGCGAGGGCGCCGCATATCGTCCCCCTGCCTCCCCCCAACCCTCCGCTGGCTTCAGAGCAGAGCCGGCAGCCCGAGTCGCCTTGTGTCGCATGCCTGCAGGAGCAGCTGGGCAAGACCCTCCTTCCCGGGTGGGAGAGAGAAGCAGCCCAGGATGGTGGGGTGGCTGGGGGAATCGGGGAGGGGCTGCTGCCCGTTGAGAAGCTGCTGAGCCGAGCCGGCCTGCCGCAGCCAGTGGAGAGGAACCACCGCTGGTAGCTCCTCAGAGGGGCATCCTCCAGCCTCCTGGCCAGTGGGATGGCTGGCTGACCAAGCTGAGCCAGCCGCATCTGTGGCACAGGTTCAAGCAGGCCAATTCCACCAGCCCCTCGCCTGCCGTCCGACCCACCTGCCCCTCCCCAGCTGGACCTTCCTGGCTGCTCCCTTCCCGGGCCTCCAAGCACAGGCTGCTCTGAGGGGACATGGAGGAAGGGGCGCTTCCTGCAGGATTGGGGGCCCGACTTCAGGCCTCTTCCTGGAAGGAAACCCCCCCCACCTCTCCATGTCTTCTGGAGGGGGGGCTGCTGCTGCTGCTGAGAGCAGGTGTCCTACATCTTCCCAGCCAGACCATAGCCCCCTCCAGCCCAAGGGGGGGCTCAGTGTGCCCACTCCACCAGCCCCCACCCCCAGAGCTCCAGCAAAGCAGGGCTCCTAAAAAGTCTGCTTTCCCCAGGTGGAGGGGGAAGTGCGTGGGAGGAGGGGGTCGCTGCAGCCCCTGCCCACTCCCCTCCCCCCTTTGCAGACTGCATCTGGATGCAGCCTCAGAGGTCGGATCTGTTGCAGGGCAGATTTACCATCCCCCCCCCCCCACTGCAGTCAGATCAGGCGAGAATTTTGGTGAAAAGGAGGAAGCTTTCCGTGGGCCTTTTCAACTCGCCTCATTCATTCCCGTTTCGCCCGGTCCTCTAAACGGCGCACCAGGCTGCCTGGCTGGGCAAGGGGGGGTGGGCGCCCCCTTCAAACTGCAGCCGCCCATTCTTGGCTCCCCGTCCCATGGTGGGGGGAAGGCCAGCCCGGAGCGCCCCCTGGCCCCTCCCGCCCGCCTCCCCTCCCGGCCGGAGGAGCTCCGCTGCTTACCGGGGTCGTGAGAAACGGTAGACGAGGCGGCCGCAAAGTTTGGCATTTCGCAGGGCTGCTCAGCGGCGCGCGTCAAGGGGGGCTGCCGTCCGTCCTTCCACAGGCGCCGTCGCCGGGGCTGGGGTCGGCACTCCGCATCGCCTCCGCTGGCGGCGGGGGGGCCTCTCGGGGCAAGCGGGCTCTGGGCGGGTCAGAAGAAGGCCGGGCAGGTGAGCGGCGGGCGAGCGGGCGAGTGAGGCCGCTGCCAGCGGTGCCAAACAGCCGTTTAAACAAGCACCTTCACACGCCGCCGCACTTCAGAAAGTTGCCGAAACGCCACCCCAGAGCCACCCTCCGGGCTGCGGCCCGCCCTCCGGGAGCACGGGACTACAAATCCCATCGCCCGCACCGGCCACGGCGGAGGGGGGGTGATCGGGCCCTACGGACGGCCCCAGCGCGGGAGGGAGGGGAGGGAGGGGGGCCTTACTGACCCCCGGGGGCTGCCTCTCCATCTTCTTCGGGACCCACTCCCGCTGCCTCGGCCGGGCCGGCCCTCCCCGCCGACCCGACCAGCCCCGCGCGCTCCCCTCGCCCACACCGGCTCCGGGCACGTCCTCACCGCGGAGGGCGCAAAGCCGGGCGGGGGCTCTGCGGAGGCGCAGCCAGTCCGCCATCCAGCCAGCTCCGCCACGCTCCGCAGCTTCTCGTCCGGGAAAGCTCCCTGGGCGAGGACGGCTCGCGGGACCCTCCCCAAATCGCCCCGCATCACCCCGGCCAGCACTCTCCCCCCCCCCCCGGGCTCTGCGGGGCTGCGACTCCACTCAGGGTGGAAGCTCTGCGTGGAAGCGGGGGAACCGCGCCGCCGACCCCGGCCCTTCCTGCCCGCCGCCCGCGCCTCCCGGCCGTGCCGCCCTACTCACCGCAGCGCCGGCCTTCGCCATAATGCCCCGGGGGGCGGCCGCCCCGCATCTCCGAGGCCGTCCGGGCAGCAGGCAGAGGCGCGCCGCCGCCGGCCCTTCCCTCCTCGCGCGGGGCGCCTGGCTCGGCTTCTTCGCAGGGCAGCCGCCGCCGCCGCCGCGCCTTGCGCCCCCTCCTCTCCCG